GTGTGGTGGGAGTGAGAAGGCAAGGAGATAGGATTATCTTAGTCAAGCTTGTCGTTGGTGATATGGTCTTGAACGTAATTAGTGCGTATGCCCCCCAAGTAGGCCTCGACAAGAGTGCTAAGAGACAGTTCTGGGAAGACTTAGATGGCTTGATTAGAGCTGTACCTAGTAGTGAGAAGCTTTTTATAGGAAATCTTAATGGGCATGTAGGTATTACAAGCGTAGGTTTCGAGGAAGTTCATGGAGGTTTTGGGTATGGTAGTAGGAATCAGGAGGAGGAGGAAGTTCTGGACTTCACGGTAGCTTTTGACCTGATGATAGCCAACACTTTCTTTAGAAAGAGAATCTCATCTAGTGACCTTCAGTAGCGAACAACACTCTAGCCAGATTGACTTTATCCTCGCAAGAAGAAAGGACAAACAAGCATGCTTGGGTTGCAAGGTGATACTAGGGGAGTGTGTTGTTTCTCAACATAAGCTTTTGGTGGCAGATTTTCGTTTTCAGGTGCGTGCCCGTAGGGATAAACAAGCTAAAATTGAATGAACAAAGTGGTGGAAACTGAAAGGGGAGACGTCAGAGGTATTCAGGAAAAGAGTTATCAAAGAGGGCTCTTGGAAGGAAGAAGAGGACAAACAACATGTGGGAGAAGATGGCAACCAACATTCGGAAGGTGGCCTCAGAGGTGTGTGTAATAACCAAAGAAAGTGGAGGCGAGGCTAAAGATACTTGGTGGTGGAACGAGAAAGTCCAAATGACTATTAAGGAGAAGAAAGAATACTATAGACGCTTGTACCATGATAGGAGTGTGACAACATAGAGAAGTACAAGGTGGCAAAGAAGACTGCAAAGTGAGCTATAAGTGTGGCAAAGGGTAGAACGTACGAGGATCTTTACCAACATTTGAGTACGAAGGAAGGAGAGAAGAACATTTATAGGATGGCTAGGGTTCGTGAGGGAAAGACAAGGGACTTCAACCAAGTTAAGTGCATAAGGATGAAAGTGAGCATCTCTTGGTGAAGGAGGATGAGATCCGACATCGATGGCAAGAGTATTTTGACAAATTGTTCAATGGTGAGAATACGGACACAACCTTTCAGTTGGATGACTCTTTTGATGACATCAATAGACGCTTTGTGCGGAGAATCCAAGAATCTGAGGTCAGAGAGATATTGAAAAGGATGAAAGGAGGTAAGGCGATGGGACCGGATGGTATCCCAATCGAGGTGTGGAGATGCCTCTGGGACATAGCTATAGTATGGCTAACCAAGCTGTTCAACCATATTTGTCGATCGAACAAGATGTCTGACGAGTGGAGGAGAAGTATATTGGTACTGATCTACAAGAATAAAGGGGATATTCAAAGTTGTACTAATTACAGGGGAATTAAGTTGATGAGCCATACTATGAAGCTATGGGAGAGAGTTATCGAGCATCGCTTGAGAGCAATAACGCGGGTCTCTATGAATCAATTTGGTTTCATGCCTGGAAGGTCAACCATGGAAGCCATTTTCTTAATAAGAAGTTATGGAGCGGTATAGGGAGAAGAAGAATGACCTACACATGGTTTTATTGACTTGGAGAAGGCTTATGATAAAATACCAAGGAATGTTATGTGGTGGGCTTTGGACAAACGTAAAGCCCCAATGAAGTACGTCGGGCTCATTAAGGACATGTACAACAATGTTGTGACTAGTGTTCGAACAAGTGATGGAGACACGGATGACTTCCCGATTAGGATAGGACTACATCAAGGGTCAGCTTTGAGCCCTTATCTGTTTGCCTTAGTGATGGATGAGGTCACAAGGGACATACAAGAGGACATCCCTTAGTGTATGCTTTTCGCGGACGATGTAGTGCTAGTTGAAGAAAATTGGACAGGAGTGAATCAGAAACTGGAGTTATGGTGGGAGACTTTGGAGTCCAAAGGTTTTAGGCTCAGTAGAACTAAAACTGAGTATATGAGATGTGACTTCGGCACTACTACTCGGAGGAAGATATTAGTTTGGAAGGTCAAGTAGTATCTAGGAAGGATACCTTTCGATATTTAGGATCAATGCTATAGAGAGACGGGGATATTGATGAAGATGTTAGCCATAGAATCAAAGCAGGGTGGATGAAGTGGCGCCAAACATCTGGTGTCCTATGTGACAAAAGGGTACCACAGAAGCCAAAAGGCAAGTTTTATAAGACGACGATTAGACCTACTATGTTATATGGTGCAGAATGTTGGCCTACAAAAAGACGACATGTTCAACAAATAAGTGTCGCGGAAATGCGTAAGTTGTATTGGATTTGCGGTCATACAAGAAGGGATCGAGTTCGGAACGATGATATACGTGATAGATTAGGGGTAGCACCAATTGAAGAAAAGCTTGTCCAACACCGGTTGAGATGGTTTGGACATGTCCAACGGAGGCCTCCAGAGGCACCGGTGCGTAGTGGAATCTTAAGCCAGGATAGTAACGTGAAGAGAGGCAGAGGAAGACCGAAGTTGACTTAGGTAGAGGCAATAAAAGGAGACTTGAAAGGATGGAATATACCCAAAGACTTAGTTTTAGATAGGAGTGCTTGGAAAACAGTTATTCACGTGCCTGGACCTTGATTGCTTCTACTGGGTTTCAACTCTAGCCTAACCCAACTTGTTTGGGACTTAAAGGCTTTGTTGTTGTTGTTGTTGTAATAATAATATGTTATATTTGTTGTGATTTATTCATCTAGACTGGTGAAATTTGCTTGGATATCTTGAAGAATGCATGGAGCCTGCATGGACCCTCCAATTTGTTTGTAGGGCCATAATTGCATTGATGGCTCATCCAGAGCCAGACAGTCCACTTAACTGCGACTCAGGTAACTTCGGTTCCATCTACTTTTTGAGTCTTGCATGTACATATACGTTTGTTGTAATACATGCTGATGAAGCTAATAGTTTTATTCAGTTTTGTCACTAAAATCGATATTTACCTTTCAACAACTTTATTTTTTGTCTTTTGACATAATTATTAAACATGCAATTTACCTATTCACCAACTTTATTATCATTTTTTCCCTAAAGTGGGCAGTTTCTTTAGATAATAGAACCCCTTTCACTGTAAAGTTTGAACTTGAGGTTAGTTAGGAACTTCGGTATTGATGTTACAAATCAGGTCATGGCTACAAATGTAGAAAAACATGTGCATATGAGATCTGTGACAAACCAAAATTTATGGCACTGAAAAGAAGTGCCTGGCTTAGCTGAAGCTGGTCTATGTTTTTAAGTCATCTAATTGACCCGAGTCGCCATGGCACCGACAAGATGATTAGTCGTGATTAGTCATCAATCAGCTTGATTAGTCAGGCCTAGTCGACCATGTCATCCTGTATGTACCAGGACTGATATACTATATAGTATGTAGTATAAAGGCTATATAAAGCAAGAATTAAGACTAGGGGTGTAAGTGGGTTAGCCCGTGAACCCACATATAGGCTTAATTTTGTGGGTTGCCACGAGTAACCCACAAAATTAAGCCGATATGTGGGTTCGCGGGCTAGTCCACTTGCATCCCTATTTAAGACAGCATGGATGGTCAGTTCGTCACTTGTTAGGTTTGATTTCTGAAGCGTCCAGAACTCAAGATCCCAGTTCCAGATTCCATATTCTTGCTGATTTGCTGCTGCAATAACAAAGAACTGAAGTAGCTGTAAAATGACTAAATAACAGTGTAACTAGAGCAGAAGCAGTAGAGCTAGCATGGAATTGGACTTAGAATGTCCAGAGTCCAATTGGATTTTTCCTTCATGGTTTTCAATGGACTGTATATATTCTGGACTTGGATATATGTGGATATGAAGTAAAAAAAAAGGATTATTGGATATCCTACATGCAAAATGCAAACATCCATGGATCACCCTGCATTAAACACCCTGTGCTGGGCATCCTTGAGGCCAGAGTGATGCCTCCGAGCTTGCCATGACGTCGACGAGCTCCTGGTTGGTTTATTGGAAAATCAGCTCGTTATGGATGAGTTGCTGCCCCTACCTCTTGAGGACGCAGAAGAGGGAAGAGGGAAGAGGGAAGAGGGTGGCTGGGGTGTCGACGTGGGCAAGGCCGATGTTGGGCTGGGAGATGCTGTCATGTCAGGGCCAGGAAGGTACTGTGCTTGTGCCAGCACTTGCTGTCCCCTGCAGCGCACAGCACGGCGGTGAGGTTGGGCAGTACCGGGTCCACTTGGGCCTCCCCTCGCAGGAATGGGCATGTGGTCAGGGTGTCATCCAGAGACCATGACAGCGTGGTGGCTCAAAGCAAAATCAACAAGGTCTTTCCGTCCTTGGTTTCATACGATGCCATGGTGGCTGTGTTGGATGATCAGCAGGTGTATCAGTGATGCCACCGGCTGCCGCGGGCAAAGCCCGCGTCAGATGCCACAGTGATGAACTTGAGCCATGACCTAGCCCTCTGAATCGCTGCAATCTCAACTCGCAGCTCCACCCGGCCACCCGTAGCAACTGGAATCACCCGGAGGCGTCCGGCAGCATGGCGAACCTTAGAGGCCTTTGATAATTGGATATTTTGTTGGATTTTGGATTACAGTTATTGGATTGGATTTTCTTCCTTTTATACTGGACACGGATTCGGACTTCTCATATTTGGATATTCCATGGACTCCTTTCATTTGGATGTGCATTGAATCAGCAAACATGCTACCCATAGCAGCCAGCATACATAACACTTAACCAAACACATCTCCTCGCCCATGGGTCCAGTGATAGTTTGATGGTCGAGGTTGTTTGCTGTTTGTAGTCATTGGTGAGCTACTTATTGTGTGGGTGTTCTGTATATGTGGTGCTGTTTGTGTGGTGTGTATGGGTTCTAAACCCCTTTTCTTAATATATTGATACCAGCTCTCCTATGTATTCAAGAAAAAAAAAACAATTAACCAAACAAGTTCAGTACAGTACAACACAGGCAACACAATTTTAGTTGCTGAAAACATATCAACGATTCAACACTAGTAGCCAGCCATCTAATTATGTAAATCATCATTCAATTGAAATGCCCCTCCTCTAGTTGCTGCTATAGTTGCAGGTGCACTATAATCTTCATCCTCATCCATTCCTACTTTTGATTCAGATTGCTGCCCTTGTGCTTCATCACTCTCATCATTATCACTGTTGTCTTCTTCAGCTATATCTTGAGCAGCAGCTATCTTCCTTGGACGCTTTCTTTTCCTAGCATATGTTTGTCTGACAGAGATAATGACCCCGTAGACTGTTGAGTTGCACCAATAACTTTGTCAACATGAGTCAAGTGATATCAGCTCCATTGCCTTCATGAACTGGTTCATAATTTTCATCTACACATTTATTTTCTCACTGAAATTCTTTAGGGGGTTGCATTTCTTCCTTTGAAGCCAAGCTCTCTAACTTTTGCTTTAAACAGAACCAGTTTCATCTAATAGTGTTTACGTAAACAACCACTGTTAAGATGACTTGTGCTTATTGAAACATAGATATCCTTGATATTGCTAGGCCATCTTGACTTAAGAATGTATACAGGACAATTTGATAAATATCTCATTTCCAAATGGATTGATTTGTGGAGTAACCCAAGCGACCTGGGCAACTTACTCTGGATGATAGATAGGTGTATTTAGTTTGATCTAATTTTCTTATGTCAGTTTGAATCTGAATCTTCTAAAAATCTTGTCCTGGCCTCTTATACTTCCATTTTATGTCACATTGCAGGCAATCTTCTACGATCTGGTGACATCAGAGGCTTTCAATCGATGGCAAAAATGTATACAAAACTTGCTGCAATGCCAAAGAAAAGATAAGTTTGCAGGATGGAATGGAACATCGATGGCAAAAATGTATACAAAACTTTGCTGCAATGCCAAAGAAAAACTAAGTTTGTAGGATGTAATGGAACACATGTATAAGGCATGGTGCTAGAGAAAGTTGTGACGTAACCGTATCTAGGCTTTAGTATATATCTTTTTATCACTACTCGTTAAATTTGATGCTAGAGAATGGCACCATTAATATTGTTTGTTCTTTTCAAGTCTGTTGTGTTATTTTCCTGTAATTTCCTGATTGCATCCTAGGCTTGCAAACTAGTCAATGGAGAAAGATCACTATACAGCAGTCCCTGATAGCATTCTTATTATCAATGTTAGTGGCACTCAGATTCATGTAACAATAGTAGGGGTGAAAATGGTATGGATATTTTCTGACCGTATTTGAGACCAAATTTGTTCGTATCCGAGTCCGGATGTTCAAAATCTGATACCGTATCTGTATTTGAATATTTAAATCGTATATTTATGATGTCGCTATCCATTTGTATACCGTCCGGCATATATACTATCCATATTCGAATCCGAATAGAAATATAAAAATAAATGTAATATAAGTGATATTTGTCCGTAACCGATCCGTTTATATACCTAAATAATAGAGCAACTAGAACTTGAGAAAACCACGGGCTTTAACAATACACTATCTTCATACTCATATATATGCATTTCTGGCATTTCAGATTTGTCTACAAATGAAAGCATTCCTAGAGTAACCTTAGTTAAAAGGGCTTTGATTTGTTAGCTTTAGTCCTACATCAGAAGTTGATGCCTTTGTATGTTGTTGGCTCTATGGACCTAAACTTGGGTCTTGGGGGGCACTGGCTCATGGGTATAGCGAGCTAGGTTAGATCGCACTCTAACATAATTATATCATCTCTCAACCTCTCCTGCTGGCCATAGTCTTTTTCCATGTGGCTGAATCGTTCTAAAAATCCTAGAAATATATTTGTTGATGGAATAGATTGAAGAACAGCATTTCAATGTCCATTGTTCCTGGTTTTGAGTATGTGTGCTTTCGGCAAGAGTCCAACACCTTTAGTCATGATCAAGATTCAACAAGTGCACAGAACTGAATGTGATACTTAATTGTGATCATTGATCAAGGTCTGAACGGATGCTTAACCTATCAGGACCCATTTGCAGCATACAAATACATGGTTGCAGAACTACGTTCCAGAAATGCTAGTAACTGAACACCAATAATGTCATAAGAAAAACATTCTTTAGTAACTTTGTGCAGTTACATAAAAGCCATCCATTTCCAACCTGATTGAACGGATCAGATATGACATCTTCGGCAAAAGCAGTCCGTGCTGCATTTCAAACTTTTCACCTATTTTTTAGATTCTTCAGCAGCGACACCAATAATGCCTGCTGGTTGCATTGTAAATGTAAAGTGAGGACATGCATCTCTGACGATGAACATGAAAACTGGAATTGATAGTCTACATTAACTTCTTTTCTTCCAGTGCGACCATAACGATTCAATGGGCATTTATCAACAGCAGTTTTTGGAAACAAAACAGCATAGAAGAGTCACTTCACACTTTGCTGAAACTACTAATTAGCCCACCATTCATATTAATGGAGGTACAACTCGTAGGGAAGTAGAAACTAGAACCTTCCTTCATTTTTCACAGCTGGAGAACGCAAAAGAGCTCTCTATCGGAAGGTAGAAGAGAACCAGAAGTTCCCAGTGGCTGCCTTGGGAACTATTCATTCATAAAGCTGACGCCATCTAGCAAATCCAGTACAACAATTGCAGAAGAGTCTGTGCTTTACCATGTGAAACATGCACTTCCACAGAGGTATCTTCTGCACAATCATCCGAGAAGTGTTAAAACATTGAAATACCTTGTGATAACAGCATGATTTACAAATGATGGTCTCCTAGAACATAGCCATTTACTTGAGTCGAACCCTAATATTTTCCTTTCTTGATCCATGGTATTAAGAGAAATGCAGGTCGATTTATCATTTATGTACTACCTCCATCTCAAATTAAATCAACTTCTAGAGTTGTCCTAAGTCAAATTGTTTTAAGTTTATAGAAAGAGCATCACACCAAATTAGTATCACTAGATACATCATGAAATATATTTTTATAATATATTTATTTGGTGTCATGAATGTTGTTACTTTTTTCTATAAAGCTGGTCAAACTTAAGATAATTTGACTTAGGATGATTCTAGGAATTGATTTGTTTTGAGGGAGGTAGTATGTTTAACTTACTGCCCCAAATTTTATTGGATAATTCTATCTTCTACAGTTTCCCTTTTTTTTATGAAGCATTCACTTCTGGTATACATAAAGTACATTTTCTTGTAAAATGCTTATATACATAATTGGTAAAAAAATCAAGAAATACTGTAAAATACAAAAGCAGACTATATATAGAGGACTGCAATTTTTTTTTGTATAGGTTAAAACAAAGTTCAGAAAAATTAGTGGATGTAACCCTTTTTTTTTTTGCTCCACTGTACCCTTTTCTTTTGTTTTTGTTTCATCTAGTATGTAAGGAGCATTTGCATAGATAATAGTACTATAAAAGACAGCGATTTCAAACAGGACTTGAGAAGTGACAAGAGCTCTTAGTGAAAAAACTTGCAATCAATAAGGCCCTGTTTGGCAGAGCTCCAAGAGCTGATTCTCTGCTGAATCCAGCAGGAGCTCTGCCAAACAGTTTTTCAGAGAGAAGTGATTCTCTGCTGATTATGTGAAGTGATTCTTTGAAATGAACTAAGAGGCTGGGAGCTGACAAAAGTAGCTTCTCCTGATTCTGTGAAGTGATTCTCCATCGTGATTTTGAGAATTTATGTTAAAGAATCAAAGAGAATCACTTTCAGCCACAAAGTCACTTCTCTCAGAGAATCAACTTCTATAGAGAATCAGAATCAGATGGAGCTCTACCAAACAGACCCTAACATGATAAGGTACTTCAAAACATGTCAAGTATTCTTGTTCTCTAAAAACATATTTGAATAATCGTCGTCGATTTGGTTTGAAGATAACGCAGGAATTGCTCAAATAAGTTAAATGGTACAATTCACTGTGCCACAATGTCTGGTGCAAGTTCTTAAACAAAACCTGTAGTGTCCATATCACAAAACAAAGGTAAGATGTGCCTGAATCCTGATGTAGATTGCCTTACAAATTTTCCCAAATTTTTATATGCAGCGAAGGACAAAATGCCTAACACTAATTGAATGACAGTTTTCTAGGTGTAAATTTGAGGCTCAGTGATGCTACATTGAAAACTGTAAACATGAGATGTACTATGCCCTAATTTAAAATTCTGAAGTCACATGGGTTTGGTTTTAAATATTCTATCCTTGACCAACCCAGCAATAGAATATTCATGATAAATCCTCCACGTTGTTAGCACAATGGATCCATCAAAATTTAATTCATACTGTGCAAATTTCTATGTACAGCGAAAGATAATACTTTGACAGAGATGAGTCCATGATCACAGCTTACCTCACAGACTGATTCGAACTTGTCTTCATTTTCTTCCTGGTAACTTCTCTTCTCCTTGGTGGTTGCAGCACTACTTTAATTGCAGTGTCGAACACAGCCTTTATGTTCTGTTTTCAGATGATTAAAACTCATTATTAATCTTTCCTGAAGTTCTAGACAACGTATGTTTATTTGGAGAGGATGTCACAAGGGAGAACCAGATATTGTCAGGCTGTAAAGTGTAAACTGTAATGAGCAGAAACATACCCTCTGTGTCTTTGAGCTGCATTCTATGTATGCCACAGCACCTATCTGCTTTCTGAGCTCTTCTCCCTAGCGTTATAAGAGAATAATGTTATCAGTTGCAGTGACTGCTGTGCAGGTGCCCTTTGAGTTCAAAAAATTGCCTAAATTGATTGAATGATGATTCCATTCTGTGGTCATATTACCTGTTCGGTAGAGATGATGGAAGCAGCAGAATGGTCAGCAAGGTAAGATCTGTCTTCACGGAGATCTGCAGTGGCAAAAAGTTTGAACTGAGAAGATCTGTCTTCGCCTGTATAAATACATAACTATTATGTTTGGATTGTTTAGGCCATAATGGTACCAACCTTACCTAGTTTGGTTCCAACAAGAACTACCGGAACACTAGGTGAAAATCGGCGAAGCTCTGGCATCCACTGTACAAAAGGACGCTGATTCTCAGTACTCAATTACTATTGTATGACAATCAAAACTGATACATCCATGTAACAAGTTATAGGGTTGTGAACTATGGTCGTCTGTTGTTGAAATGCTTCCTTAAGAAATATAGATAAATTCGAGCAATAACAATTGAAACCAAAGCCTATCTCATGAGTCCAAGGTGCCATTGCCTTTCTACAAAGTTCAGTCATCAGCTATGGGTTTAAGGCATTAACATTACTTTCAGAGCACAAACTGCAAATAAAATTAACTGATTTGTGTCGAAATATACCACAGTCAAATGCAACAAATCATCACCCCTAAAGGAGTCAAGAACTCTTAGTTGCGGTTGTACTGATCCCCAACTGTCTACCTAGGTTCAAAGTTCGGCTAGGCGTCGACTACTCGGCAACTACGCGCGCCTAGTCGCTGGGCGAAGCCCGTCGCCGCGACTAGGGGCATAGTCGCGCATCGCGGCGCTAGGCGGGTGCGGACGCGGCGCGTAGGCACGCGAGATGAGCGCGAGCTCGAGGGCGGCCAATTTTGGTGCGCAAAATTGGAGCGCGGGAGGAATTGCCGCGCGGCCACAAGACCTAGGCGTGGGAGGATTAGAAGGGAGCGCGGCGCCATTCGCTCATCCCCGCGTAAGATTTGGTCGTCCCCGCCGCCGGTCCTCCTCGCCGGGCGCGGTCCATCCCGCCGGACGACCTCCTCCCCGCCGTTCCTGCTCCTCCCGCCGTTCCTGCTCCTCCCGCCGGTCTTGCTCCTCCTCTGCTCCTCCCCTGCTCGTCCCCGACTCGCGCGCCGCCGGTCCTACTCGTCGTCAACTCGCCACTGCCGTCCTGCTCGTCCTCGACTGGAACCCCTCCCCGCCGGCCACTCCAAGTCCCCAAGGTGAGCTCCCTTCCCTCCCATGCTCGTCTCCCCTCCCATGCCGACAACTCCTCCCCTGCTCATCTCCCCTGTATGACTGAATCTGCATGTGTTTGTTCAGTGAAGTCTTTTGTTTACTGAATGAGTCTACTGAATATGAGACTACTGCTGCTGTCATCATTAGTTAACAGTAAAAATGTGTTTGCTCATCTCCCTTGGATGGGAGGCTGCTGAAATCATCCAGATAAGTCACAATTTAGTGTTTTCTATTTTTTTTTATGAACAGCTAGCTGTCTATTGACTAATTTACTAACTACTAGCTGTCAAAATGTGTTGCAGGAGCTAGGAACATGCAAGAGTAAGCCAGCTAGGAATCAGATATGTCTATTGGCCCTCTTTTTATACTTACTGTGACTCATATATATATATATATATATATATATATATATAGTTATATATATATATATATATATATATATATATATATAATTTATGTATATATATATATATAATTTATGACTATATTGCCAAAACGCCTAGGAGCGCCTAGGACCGAGTACTCCCGACTAGGCGCTAGGCAATGGGTCAGCGCCTAGATTCCGCCTAGCGCCTAGCTGAACTTTGCCTAGGTTTGAGTTTAAATTTTCGTCCTTAACTATTCTCAGTACCTTCTTCAAGACGTTCTCATAGCTCGCCCTGCTGACCAGGGAGAAGGAGAGGATGAACACATCAGCACCCCTGTAGCTCAGAGGCCTCAATCTACTGTAATCCTCCTGGCCTGCATCCAAGGTGGGCAAATCAATCATATCCAGCAGAAAAAAGAAGAAGATGGAAGCACTTGAGAGGCATTGCTGGATCCTCCTGAATCTGCTGTAATCTGATCTGCCCCACCCCACCTGCCGTGTCCCAGAGGCCCATGTTGACAATGCTCCCATCCACAGAGACATTGGCGCTGAAGTTGTCAAATACAGTGGGGATATAATCCTGCCAAAGTAGACACAGAAAAAACAAAAGGAAAAGAGGTTCAAACATCACAATAGAATAACCACACTCCTCTCTAATCAAGATTGGTACTGAATCTGTCTCCATTTTCTTCGAAACCGAGCTAGCTAGATAGAAGGAACTGAAACCCAATCGTGTCCAGCCGAATAAGAAATGCAGAGAGTATCCAGCCATTGGTAACGAGAAAGGGGACAGAGAATCGAACACAAAGATGGTAAGGAGCAAAGTGAACGGATGGAAGCACTCAACCGTGGGGAACTTGTTGGAGGTGTAGCAGATGAGCATGCAGGTCTTCCCGACGGCCCCATCGCCGACCGTGACGCACTTGATGAACTTGGTGACCGAGCTCGCCGCCGCCGCGCTCATCGCTCTCCCTGCCGCCAGTCCGTCCGCCGCTGCACGAGCCAGCAACACCTGGTTTTACTACCCCTCCTCCTCCCAACCAGTCGTGGCTGCCTGCAGCAGTGTGCCTGCATAAATGCAGCCAGCAGCAGCTTCTTTTCTTTATTATATACCACCTGGGGGAGTGACAGAGGTGTGGGTGTGGCGAATCTCATCTTTATTTGCTCGCCAAATTTCAAATTTGAACTCGGCTGCCTGTAGAGACAGATACCTTGTCTTAGTCTGAATTTTGAACAGTTGAACTGAGGACCTTACTACGTGCAAAGAGGCTTAGAATTGTTCAAGAACGTCGTTTGCACAGACACCTTATCATCATTTATTTGAATTCGATGTCTTGTGGATTGAATCGCACACAGTAGTTAGGAACATGTAGCGAGACACTAGTGCTAATCAGCCAAGGTGCTGGCACCTGACATGTTTTGTTCTGCCTTTGAGGCTTTGGACACGAGAATCCGTTCTTCTTTGGCCCCTCCCTCGTCAGATCCAAGCTTTTGTACGCTACCCGGTTCGCTCCACGTGATTGCGCCTGTGCGTGCGACTATTCTAGTAGCGTTCTTTTGTTTTGTAGAGGCCCCATTTGGGTTGGTAAGCGGCACACGTGTAGCTGCAAAAGAAATCTTACGGTAAACAATGTTCGTTCCCAGCTTGGACAACGTGCTTCATATACTTGTAAAATGAAAAGTTTAATTTCCACAAATTTATGCTAATGTTAGTATTTCCAGTCATCATGAAACAAGGTTTACAAAATAATGGGAATACATTACTAATATGTCATTGCTGCCCCTCTCTTCTTTTGCCACAAACAAAGCGCACGCTATTAGAGCATGTTTGATACACATGACTAGTTATTAGTTGAGATAAAACTTAGTCGAAATTAGTTATGCTTGGCTAAAAAATCAATCCACTTATGAGCTGTTTAGATACACTAGAGCTAATTTGAGCTAAAATTAGCTAGCTAAAAATTACTTCATGGTATCCAAACATGTCCTTAGTTGCATCAGTAAGACCTAGATGTCCACCATGATTACCATAAATCTACTAAGGCAAATGCTTTAATTAACTCGAGAACTTATACAAAATTAAGCATTGCAAAGATATAGGTATAATACCTGTTGTAACTAGAACAGAGTCATAACCAAATATGATTACACAATGAGGTATATACTAGAACAGAGTCATAACCAAATATGATTACACAATGAGGTATATACGCATTGCTATCCAATCAAGTAAAGAAGTGGTGGGAGATTTTGGGCACGAATTGGCGAGTCTTGAGAGGATGAGAGAAATATGAACAAATTTCACTAAAAAGATGTAGCTGCTCCTTGTCTCTCCTCTGCTCCTCGGTGTTCTTGTTGACAGTAATGGGTGCCTCTAACCACCTTTCCCTTTCACCAAGGTATGTGCTTTGTCCTTTTTGGCATCCTAGTTTAGATGGATCTCCAACCTTTAGCCAAACCTTTGCCAGCAAGCCTGTCTTTGGCATCAGTTTGGTCTCCCTGTCACTTCACCTGGCGCTTCTTTAGTCCTCTTGGCCTCTTTTAGCCGCTGCAAATTCCAGCTTTCGGAGGGTTTAGTTGGTTCTCTTCTTCGGGCAGCTCTTGGTGGTGTTGCTTCTGAGTTTGATATGCTGCAATTGGATCATCGTGCCTTCCGTTTTTCAATCTCCTGCAAGACAATGGGCTGTGTGGTGATTTCAAAGTTTTCTTCAACCTCTGAGGGAATGGCGGTGCTAATCGGAAATCTAAGGTTCAGTCTTTCTGTAGAAGAATAAGTTTCCTGGTCTGATGTTCGTAGCAAGAACAAGTGGTGCCCTTCTTTTGCTGATGTTGACAAGATTCCACCAGTCTCCGGAGCCAATGCCATCCCTGTCCGAAAATTAGTCTTTGATTAGATTTCTTTCCAGAAAGCCATGGTCTTTGATCATTCAAATTAGGATGATTTGGAAGCAAATCAAGAAAAATCTTGTAAACAAGATGAACTATCGTGCAGGATCCTTCGTTAGATCTCTCTTTGGCTCTTCCAAAAACAAGAGTTAATTGGACTTAAATTTGGGATGTTTTTTGAATCTAAATCTGTTCTTGTTGGTTCTCTAAACGACATGCAAGGCAAGCTTGTCATTACCCCATCAAATTTCATAACTGCCTTAGGGCATATTTGGATCATTGCTGGATTATTATAATATGGATTATTGATGGGATTATTATAATCAGGATTGTAGATTATAATAATTAGAGTATTTAGGTCCCTAGATTATGGTGATTAATTATGGTTGGTTAAAGTGAGAAACTCCTATATCAAGTTTTAGTTTGGCAAGTTGGAGAATCGATTGGGGCCAAGTAAGACTTTCAGCTTCCATAATCCCCTAAAATGTGGTCTCATGGATTATAGGATTATGGTAATCAAGGGTCTTGATTATAATAATTCGTTATATGATCAACCCTGTTTGATCAAAGTTTGAATTTATTTGATTATTATAGTCACATGGTATCCAAACATGGCCTTAATTGGGGGTAATATTGCTATTTTTGTTGCCAGACACACAGAAACTCTGCAGCTGTAAAGGAAAGAGCACGAATGTTTCACCGGTATTTAATTCACGTTTCCTAAGAAGCCTCCTTCAATCGATGGGCTGAGTGCTAGTAGCTCGCCCAAGTTTGCTTCTTTGGTGGATTTGGATCACTATATTCTGCATCTTCTCAACTCCCTAGAAGCTGAACAACCAATAATGATTTATTGGAATCTCCCTCTCAAGTCGCTACCTAGTGGACCATTGTAGAGTCCTATTGGTGTCCACACCACTAGGTGCCTCGCCACGCTCGTTGACCCCAAGGAACATAGTTGCTCCTCCTCGCCATGAAGAAAACCTCTTTTTTCCTCAAAATAAACAACAGTTCTCTCCTTCATCAATGGCTTTCTAAAGAGCTGATCCAACTCCATTCATTCTAGTCGACCTTCACTGTCATGAACTACAAATCGAGTGATGATGGTCAGGGTAGTTTTTTTCTCAACCTCAACCAAATAATGAAGATCTTGCTATTGCAACCATTAATCTGTTGTTGGGTAATGTGCTTGACTTCCTAGTTGTTAGAGGTCATTACGAACTCTTGGTTGATCGCATACATCTAGAAGTCAGAGGCATTCAACCCTGTGGATCATTTGAGTCACACTTTTGTCATATTTGCTTATGATCATGATAGGGATTAAGTTGTCTTGAATAGTCCCTTTCCATACACTACTACAGATTGATTTATCACTGTCGCCACTTGCACTACCATAGCGATAGAAGCGACGGTGTGATACTTCCATCGTCGGTTGGAACGATAGCGAGGCCTCCTAGGAATGAAACCGGCAATTTAGATTTCTACCACCGACGGGTTAACGATAGATGCGACAGTGATATTGGGGTTGCATTTGCTGCGTCGCATGAAAAGCTGGGCCGACTGGGATACGCATTTTGGCCTCCAACCCTAAACTAGCGTTTGGTCAAGCGGCAGTAAATTCAGCGTGAGTGTTGAATTGCCTTAACTTCCAAGGCCATCAAATCACCATTACTTCCGCCGCCTGAAGCCTAAGAGCCGTACCCACTGCTCTACATATACTCCAAGCCCGGTGTCCTCTGAAACCACCCCTTTTCTTCATCCATCATCCCCTTCTCTTCCAATCTTCTATAAAGAAAATGTCGGACATCCCATCATGTTTCCAAGAAGCCTGTCGTCCAGCGAGGACGACTTGCCTGCCCACCACTCTTCTGAGGAGGTCATCTCCTTCGACGAGTGGATGTTGTCCGATTATAATCCTCTGTGGAGCTCCGATAAGGAGGACCTGGAGGACGAGCACGAGGAGGATGAGGACGACGCCGACGACTCCGACTCCGACTCCAACTCTGATGCTCTGACTCTGACTTTGACTCGCCTCCTCCCAAGCCAAGGCGAGCATGATCCTCTCCGCGAGAGGATCATATTTAGATTAAGTAGTTTATAGTTAGTATAAGTAGTTTTATTTTAATAGTTTAGGTTAGTTATTATGCTTCTAGACGAGTACAACCATATACTCTCCCAAATTATACCTATATGTTAGATATATAAAATGAATCAATGAAAAAAAATTCTATTCGCGCAGATTTAATCTCTTCAATGCCACCTTTTTTTATATGAAATGCAAAGCAAATTCTTTCCAATACTACTTCCAAAATGCCAGTGCACGGATTTGATCTCTCGACGAATGTTTTTTTGTATATTTGTGAATGAAAAGGGAGAAAACTGTCATGTGCGGTTGCGGTTGTTTCTAGGAGAATCTAAAAGCAGTTTAACCACTGACAATCGCCGTATTATAGCGTTGGATTAGCGTGGCAATGGTCGGCTTAATGCGGACACTGTTTAACTTATCCCGTGCCGTCCGTTCTCGCTACCGATCAATCTAGACCATCCGTTTGGCAACAAACCTAGAAGCGCCCGGCCCATTCCCAATTCCCCTTGGGTCCTGTCGATGCCTTAGCGGTGGTTCGACTAACTAAAAACCCCAAAACAAATCCATTAGTTCTCCCCACCTGTTGTTGCTTCATCTTCATTCTCCCCACCCGTTGCTTCATCTTCATTTTGACCCATCGCCTATACTTGCCCTGCCTCGAGCACCTTGCATCCCGTAAAGGTTAGGTGGATTCGGTTACCCCATGTTTGCATTTGGCTCCAATTCATTTTGGGTTCGGTATCAGTTTTGTTCATATTAGGAATTTCTTCATTGCAACAGATGTCTTACTTCGGAAGAATCCATTTCAATTTCAGCAACCTTGCATTTTGGCGGCTAGGGGTGGCACCAAGACCCTAGATGATGTTGTTTGCTACTTGGGGACGGAGCATTCACCTGGACTGACTGTTGATTGTTGAAGCCGCTGCTCATCACCTTCTCGGACCACAAAATTTGACAAGAAAGGTTCAAGACCCTGTTTGTGTAGAGATTTTTGT